GTGTGTGTGTGTGTGTGTACATGTGTGTGCACACGTAGGTGAGGACCAGCTCAGGTTCACCAATACGCGCGCGTGCACACACACACACACACACACACACACACCTCCCTCATCTGGCTACAGACAGAAGTCTGTCATCCTTACAGACTGAAGGTGACCAAGTCAGACAGCCCTGTCCAGCATCCTCTGTGGCCCTGTCCTGCCCCTCCCTATGCAGGCACAGGGATGTCCCAGCACGATCGCAGGAGCAGCGCCTGGCTGAACACGGTGCCGAGGCCTTAGGAAGGAAGTGGGGGAACTTCCTGGCTCTCGACCCACCCAGTCTGGCCTGACCTCAGCTCCCAGCAGCAGCCCAGCCCTTTCCTTCCTCCAGGGTGAGCAGAGAGGGTGGTGGGCACTGCCACAGCGGAGGCTGCAGGGACCACTTCTGACCAGCAGGTGACGCCAGTGCACGGCCACCACCCACAGACTGGGGACAGGCAAAGGCACCTGTGCTGCCAGGCTTGGGCTGGGGCTGGGCTGGGCTGGTGGTGGCGGGATGACAGCGGACACTGCAGGTCCTCCTCAGCCGGTGGCCCTGCAGCACTGACCGGACAAGCACTCTAGGCCAGGCTGCACCGGACACTGCTCCCTCCCCGAGCCTCAGTGTCCCTCTCTGTGACGCAGGATGGCGTACCACCCTGGCTCTCTGCCCAGTGGCCGGGCGAGCAGGCGTCTGGGGCTCCAGGAAGGGGCTTCTGGGAGCAGAGGGCAGCTGGGGGGCTGTGGCTTGGGACAGGGCGGTGGCCCTCAAGTCCTCCCCCAGGCTCACATCTAAACTCCTGCTCCACTGTCAAGGCACGCTTTGGCATCACTGCATGCAGGGACCCCAGCTAGAGCCCCTGCTGTGCCAAGCCCTCCCCGGCGTGGCCTAGCCAGCATGGCAGCTGCCAGTGTTCCAAGGCCAGGGTGGGTCCCTGCGCCCACCTTCAGCTCGTAGAAGATGATGTCGCCCAGCACCAGGTACACCTTCACATAGTACAGGGTCTCCTCCTCAAACTCCAGGGGCGAGCGGCACAGCGACAGCGCCTTGAGGTAGAAGTGCTCGGCCAGCTCGCCGTGGCCCAGCCGGTGGTGCAGGGCGGCCAGCCGGTGGTAGGCCACGCGCTCGTTCAGCTGGTCACCTGGGGTGAGCAGGCGGAGGGCGGGTGTGGGGATGTGACCTGCAGATAGGGGCTGAGCCTACAGGCATGGCCCATCACTTCCGGTCCCGACTCACTTTCCAATTCGGAAAGTGGGGTGATTGTGTCTGCTCCCCTTATACCTTGGTGTTGGGCAACATCCCTGCTCTGTGCTTGCATGAAGTCACCCACATGGGGTGGCTTCCCTCATGGTTCTTAACTAGGACCCCCAGAAGGTACAAGGCAATGGCCCCACCCGCGTGTCATGGACAGGGCCCACAACCTTGAGTGTCTCTTCCTGTTGGAGCCCTGGGCCCTCCCTCAGCCTCACTGGTCCTCACATCCTGCCCCCCAGGGCCAGTGTGTGGAGGCTGCAGGCAGAGCCCAGAGACAGCCCACAGAGCAGGGTTCAGACACGGTGTAGGACACTGGTGCCTGGCACTAAAGGATAGAGACTTCAGCAGCCAGGGAGCAGCAGGGACTGCATGGGCTGGGAAGGGACATCAGGAAAGGACCATCACAGAGTTCCAGCCTGACATCTTCAGGAACAGGTAGAAGCTGGGACATATGGCAACTGTGTGGGCACTTGTGGTAGGCCAGGGCAGAGGCAGGAAGGCCACACAGAGTTTCACCCATGCTGTGAGAGGCGGTCTGGGCTTCAGGGCTGGCTGGTCAGATCTGACCTCGGGCGCCTGGACAGGAGAGGGAGGGCCCAGCACCCCGGCTTACCCAGGGTGATGCTGAGCTCCAGGGCCTCACGGGCGAACTCCAAGCCCTCCTGGGGCGTCTCCAGCACGGCCACCAGCTTGTTACACAGCCGCAGCTCCGCCTCCTGGTTCCCCAGGGTTATGGCCAGGGGCAGTGCCCGGTCCTGTCCACACCGAGGAAGAGCTCAGGCCAGGCCCACACAAGGCGGGGTACCCTCACCCTCCTGTAGGGTCTGCACACTGCCTGGGCCCAGGAGAAACAATGGTTCAGAGAGTGCTGACAGCCCCAGCTGGAGCCGGGAGGCCTCCTGTCCTTGCCCACGAGGCAGGCCCCAGCTGCAGGCACATTGAAGGGAATCCGGGGCCTAGCTGCTGGTGAGCTACTGGGACAGAGGAAAGGGGTGCCTGGGTCCCCCACTCGTGGTACATCCTACTGCCTCTGTGAGCCTCAGTTTCCTCATCTGCCTGGTGGAGACCCACGTTCATCTGGGGAGGCTTGGGGTCCTCTGGCGCCCCCATCGAGGGCACACAGCTCTGCTTACCCGGTAGAAGGACACAGCTTTCTCTCGATCCCAAGCCCCATTGAAGAAGATGTCTCCGGCTGCCTCGAACAGCTCCAGCCCTAGGCTGGGGTCCCCTGTGTACAGCGCTGCGTTCTGTGCTACCTGCATAGTGGGGAGCACACTGGGAACTGGGTGTCAGGCTCAGAGCCTTAGCCTTCTCCTGTACTCTAGCACTCGGCCCCAGGATGACGACCCCAAGTACCCACAGGTATGGGCTGGCAAGGTGCATGGGCAGAACTCTGGCCTGGCCTCCACCATGCCCACACCGGGCACTCCTGCCTGGCACCTGTGTGCCCACCACCTCCTGCCCCTCACCTCCACCTCCTGAGCCCTCAGAGAACATGATTGGCCATGGCCACCTACTGTCCCACCAGCCAGTTCAGCTCCATAGACAGGATGGGCCCAGTTTCTTGCCTCCCATGCTGCGGGGCGAATAGTAGGAACCCAACAGGTGCCTCATGGAGTGGGCGAGAGCTTAGTCCCTGCCCAGAATCCAGCTAGAGCCAGCTGTGCACAGCTTCGAGGCAGAAGCAGGCTCCTTGGAGCCTCTGGGCCTTTGCATCTGCTGGTCACCCCCACCTTGTTCTCCAGCTGGGCACCAGGCCCCAGCCCTGCCACATCCCAGACCCTCCAAGACCATGCACAGAGACCCCATCTCCTCTCAGCCCTTGGCTCAGCAGAGGGGCACAGCATCCACAAAATCAACTCAGGGCCAGGCCCTGTGTTCAGGTCATGTGATGAGGGGACAGCTTCTGTGATTAATGCATTTCCAGAGCATGCTCCATGCACTGCTAAGCAAGTTCTTCTGGGTGTCTCTAAGTGGACAGGTCACTCGTACACTTATTGGGCACTTGCTGTGTACCAGCATGGTACAAGCACCCTAAAAAGCTCATGTCTCTGCCTGAGGAGCTCAGGTTGTCATCCAAGATGCTGAGCACTGGGGGAGGTTGAAGGGGTCAGAGGCAGAGGGGAAAGACCAGCTCCTCAGCATGCAATGGATGCTCAGTGGTGGATGGGTGGGTGGAAGGGTGAGCAGGTAGATGGGTAGATAGGTGGGTGGATGGGTGGGTGGATGGATGGGTGG